TTATATCCAAAATAATAAAATAAAATATTACAATTAATGTATAGTAAAATTATATATATATAATCAAAGATGTTTCAATAATTTAAATGATATTTATAAATTAAATAATATTTATAAAGCTAATTAAAATTTAAGGGACATATAATTTTTTTTGGACTTACCTGCCCATTCGCCGAACTTTGTTCGCAAATCAATTGCCTTCTTATTGTATATTTGCATAATAATTTCCCATAGAACACGCAGAAATCTCATAACAGGACCAAGTAGAATCCAAAAACAAATTAAAATAACTAACAGCCAAAATGCTATTGTTATTAACATTTTTTTTGTTATTTGGCGTTCTCTATATTTACCTAAAAGAGAAAAATATTTATGTTAAAAATCACAAAAAATAATTTCCTTTAATTTTTTATTATAAAAAAAATGTTGACATTCTTTGACATATTTTGTCAAGAAATATTTATAGAATTATAGTATATAAATTTAAAACATATCAAAATTATTTAAGCATTTAATTTATTTATTTTAATTTATTTTATTATTTAAGCATTAAAATATTATTTAAGCATTATTGAGCCTAGCTCAGATCAATAGAGCCTTTATTTATTGTGTATTCATATAATATCTTACGATATTTTGTGCTTACAAGATTTGTTTATAATTATTTGCTTGTAATTAGAATTATTTATGTGATAAAAAGGAATGTATTAAACTTTTCTTAATTTTAATTTTAATATTTTTAGTGAAAGTTCTGTGTGATCATACATTTTTTTCAAAACTATAATTTCACGTAAGTACGATGTCACAATTGAGAAAACATTTGTGAGAAAGGCTTTAACACGTGAAAGTGTACTTAATCGCGCCAGATATTTCGGTAATGCAACAAAAGCTTGATTGCTCGCTTTTTTATTTTTAAAAGGTATCTCTTATCAAACACTTTGTTTTCTTTATCTTTGTCCCTTATTGTTCTCCCTTATCTTTCCCTTATGATTATCCCTTATCTTTTATCTACTCTCACTTTTATTTGTGTTTTCGATACCGGCACGATGAGAAATGTTCGAGAAATGAAAGCCGAGGCAAGACTAAACCGTCATCTCGCTCGGGTGATTGTACTGAAGGACAAGTCGAGAAATCATGATACTTTCTCCTTTTGCTGAAATTCTCCATGTACAATTTTTTGTGTTTTAGGTCAGACGACCTAAAAAATCTTTGCATAAGCAAATATGTATTATATATTGTAAACAAATTATTACGTCGAGTTAGAAGCTGTAATTATTTATCACGTAACATATTTATCGGGCGTTTGTTATCTTTCATTCTATTTCAATAGAATTGCTTCATGTTGATCGATTCGCGGATGACATGACGAAAAGTTACGTAAAAGAGATGACATTTTAGAAAACATCAACACGTAAATATCTTCATATAATGAGAAAATTATAAGATTATTACTTATAATAAGATTACAACAAACAGACTTTTAG